CAGAAAAGTGACTCTGGGGGCTCTCTCTGACAATAAAAAAACCCCATAGACCTAAGAACATTCGCACTTATAGATAAGAAACTACACAATATACTGTAAATTAGGGGTGGGCGATATGGCTTAAAATTCATATTGCGGTATAATTTGTGTCACAGACCGTAGAGGGTATATATTGCGGTATAATTTGGTGTGTGAATTTCAATAGGTCTTGTAGGTTCTTGCATAAAATAGTCAAGATTGTTACTTATTTATATATTAGAATGTAATATATGTATATATATATATATATATATATATACAGTGCCTTGCGAAAGTATTCGGCTCCCTTGAACCTTTCAACATTTTGCCACATTTCAGGCTTCAAACATAAAGATATAAAAATTAAATTTTTTGTCAAGAATCAACAACAAGTGGGACACAATCGTGAAGTGGAACAAAATGTATTGGATAATTTAAACTTTTTTAACAAATAAAAAACTGAAAAGTGGGGCGTGCAATATTATTCGGCCCCCTTGCGCTAATACTTTGTAGCGCCACCTTTTGCTGCAATTACAGCTGCAAGTCGCTTGGGGTATGTCTCTATCCGTTTTGCACATCGAGAGACTGGAATTCTTGACCATTCTTCCTTGCAAAACAGCTCGAGCTCAGTGAGGTTGGATGGAGAGCGTTTGTGAACAGCAGTCTTCAGCTCTTTCCACAGATTCTCGATTGGATTCAGGTCTGGACTTTGACTTGGCCATTCTAACACCTGGATACGTCTATTTGTGAACCATTCCATTGTAGATTTGGCTTTATGTTTTGGATCATTGTCCTGTTGGAAGATAAATCTCCGTCCCAGTCTCAGGTCTTTTGCAGACTCCAACAGGTTTTCTTCCAGAATGGTCCTGTATTTGGTTCCATCCATCTTCCCATCAATTTTAGCCATCTTCCCTGTCCCTGCTGAAGAAAAGCAGGCCCAAACCATGATGCTGCCACCACCATGTTTGACAGTTGGGATGGTGTGTTCAGGGTGATGAGCTGTGTTGCTTTTATGCCAAACATATCGTTTTGCATTGTGGCCAAAAAGTTCGATTTTGGTTTCATCTGACCAGAGCACCTTCTTCCACATGTTTGGTGTGTCTCCCAGGTGGCTTGTGGCAAACTTTAAACGAGACTTTTGATGAACATCTTTGAGAAATGGCTTTCTTCTTGACACTCTGATTTGTGCAGGCCAGATTTGTGCTGTGCACGACTGATTGTTGTCCTATGGACAGACTCTCCCACCTCAGCTGTAGTTATCTGCAGTTCATCCAGAGTGATCATTGGCCTCTTGGCTGCATCTCTGATCAGTCTTCTCCTTGTTTGAGATGAAAGTTTGGAGGGACGGCCGGGTCTTGGTAGATTTGCAGTGGTCTGATACTCCTTCCATTTCAATATAATTGCTTGCACAGTGCTCCTTGAGAGGTTTAAAGCTTGGGAAATCTTTTGGTATCCAAATCCGGCTTTAAACTTCTCCACAACAGTATCTCGGACCTGCCTGGTGTGTTCCTTTGTCTTCATGGTTCTCTCTGCGCTTTAAACATAACCCTGAGACTATCAAAGAGCAGATGCATTTATACGGAGACTTGATTACACACAGGTGCATTCTATTTATCATCATCAGTCATTTAGGACAACATTGGATCGTTCAAAGATCCTCACTGAACTTCTGGAGTGAGTTTAATGCACTGAAAGTAAAGGGGCCGAATAATATTGCAAAAAGATTTCCCAAGCTTTAAACATCTCAAGGAGCACTGTGCAAGCAATTATATTGAAATGGAAGGAGTATCAGACCACTGCAAATCTACCAAGACCCGGCCGTCCCTCCAAACTTTCATCTCCAACAAGGAGAAGACTGATCAGAGATGCAGCCAAGAGGCCCATGATCACTCTGGATGAACTGCAGATAACTACAGCTGAGGTGGGAGAGTCTGTCCATAGGACAACAATCAGTCGTACACTGCACAAATCTGGCCTTTATGGAAGAGTGGCAAGAAGAAAGCCATTTCTCAAAGATATCCATAAAAAGTCTCGTTTAAAGTTTGCCACAAGCCACCTGGGAGACACACCAAACATGTGGAAGAAGGTGCTCTGGTCAGATGAAACCAAAATCGAACTTTTTGGCCACAATGCAAAACGATATGTTTGGCGTAAAAGCAACACAGCTCATCACCCTGAACACACCATCCCCACTGTCAAACATGGTGGTGGCAGCATCATGGTTTGGGCCTGCTTTTCTTCAGCAGGGAAAGGGAAGATGGCTAAAATTGATGGGAAGATGGATGGAGCCAAATACAGGACCATTTTGGAAGAAAACCTGTTGGAGTCTGCAAAAGACCTGAGACTGGGACGGAGATTTATCTTCCAACAGGACAATGATCCAAAACATAAAGCCAAATCTACAATGGAATGGTTCACAAATAGACGTATCCAGGTGTTAGAATGGGCAAGTCAAAGTCCAGACCTGAATCCAATCGAGAATCTGTGGAAAGAGCTGAAGACTGCTGTTCACAAACGCTCTCCATCCAACCTCACTGAGCTCGAGCTGTTTTGCAAGGAAGAATGAGCAAGAATTCCAGTCTCTCGATGTGCAAAACGGATAGAGACATACCCCAAGCGCCTTGCAGCTGTAATTGCAGCAAAAGGTGGCGCTACAAAGTATTAGCGCAAGGGGGCCGAATAATATTGCACGCCCCACTTTTCAGTATTTTATTTGTTAAAAAAGTTTAAATTATCCAATAAATTTCGTTCCACTTCATGATTGTGTCCCACTTGTTGTTGATTCTTGACAAAAAATTTAATTTGTATATCTTTTTGTTTGAAGCCTGAAATGTGGCGAAATGTTGAAAGGTTCAATACTTTCGCAAGGCACTGTATATATATTTTTTTTTGAAAATCAGGTGTGTCTAGTCTCCACAAACAAATCAACAGTATTTCATCCAGTATTTAATACATTATTAGCATATAATATTATTCCATATTAAAGAGACACCATGCTTTTGAAATGCAGATTGAACTGATAACTCTGTGGTTAGTGAGTAGGGTTGCCAACTTGAGAACAGAAAAATAAGGGACACCATTTGGGTGGATCCGGTTGAGCAGTTTTTAGTCCTAATTTCAATCTACACAGGAATCATGGAATTTCATAATCAGTTTTTATAATTTCATTGCATATAAAAAAACAAATCCTTTGTCAAAAATGAAATTAAATAAACAGGTGGAACTCTTTGGCTGGTTAAGCACTTAATGCATGCTTATTATTAATAAAAGAGATTAAAAAATAGATTTCAGTAAAAGCTATTGTTCGTTTTCAAAGCTGGTCTTGGCATTTGTTGACGGTCCCTAAGTGCTTTTCTCTGCGTTTGCAGCAATGGATTTCTCTGCATTAAAACAGCGCATCGGATTTGAACAATCGATACAATTACAATTACTTTAGTTTAACAATGTAGCTTTCGTGAGCTATTGACTGCGGAAGTCAGACACTAACTTTTCAAACTTCTGCAGTGATGATGCTGCCCCATGCTGACGCTCATGGATGTGATCTGGGCTAATGCTGCTGGCTAATGCTGCTGGTTAATGCTGGTGGCTAATGCTGCTGTGCTAATGCCGGTTGTTTTGGTGTTTTCTCCCGGCGTCAGAGCCTGCGCTAGCTTTAGCCAATCGGCGCCGGGTTAACCTCAAGTCCCACCAGGGCCCAACAGACTAGCATGGAGGAGGAACTCCGTCAGGCCCCGTGCAATTTAATGACAAAATGACCTATCGCAATATGCCGGTATAACAAAAATCTCTACCATTGGCCAAATACCACATACCGCTTATACCGTTTATATCGCCCAGCCCTACTTTAAATACAAGATTAAAGTACGTAATATTTGCATGTAAAGTCATAATTAAATGGCCCCAATATTTCAAAAGGTATTATTAAATCATGCTCTTTTCGAATACATCTTTAACTGGTAACAGTTGTTCAGCCGAGATATTTGAATATCAAAATTAGTTTTACGACCAGTAAAAGTTGTTCTTGTTTTCATTTCGATGTCCTACCCCTTCGCCTTTTCGCCAATCAGGAAGTCCGAGGTCCGGGTTGCCACAACTCCCTGCGGCTAGCTAAAATAACATGTGGCCGCAGAACTTAAAGAGGTCTTGTTATGATTCTCAAATCATTCTGACAAAACAAAGACTAAAACTAGGATTTATTTTGGGAAGCCTTTGAAAACTTGAGATAATTGAAGGCAGATACAAACTTTCCGTGATGCAGAACTTGCTGCGTTGAGTGCTTCTTCATTGACAGTTCAAGAACCTGCCTGGAGTCTGAAATCCCTTACACATAAAGGTGGCCTAATGACTAAGTCAAAGCGCGGGCACCCCAGCAGTCTGGGTCTGGAGATATGTTTTGGATTAACCAATATGATATATTCTAAGACGATTGTTAAAGAACTGTAAAATGTAAAAACAAGCCGTTATTTGCAGATTAAAGCTTAATTGTAATAACAATCAAGTGAGACAACATGTACCCCAATTCAAATAATGTTGTCTCTATTTGATGTGGGACTTCTAAAAAATAGGGAATAAAAAAATTGAATCAACCCTGATGTTGATATGCTGAAGAAATATGTTCCAACATCCATTCTTCCCACTCCTATTTTGGACATCAATTGCTTATTTATTATGCATAATCTATGTATAATTAAATAGCTTTTATTTTGTTTTTCTCATCTCAAATGTCCAAATAAAAATAACATTCATTCAACATTAGCACGGCTATCATGGCAATGTGAATGGAGACGGCAAAAAACTGATGAAATAATTCACTGTGTTTGCTGCTGGATTTGGTGTGTATCAGGGAGATTGGGAGAGGACTAGAAAATATTGAGTGTGACTGCAGTACCACTTTTGGCCAGAGTTTTACATATTGCTCCTTTAAGTTTGCCCTGGACTTTTTTCCTCAGTGATATTTTAAAGGTGTCTTCTGTGAGACTCTGATGTACTGTATGCGTCAGAAACAGCAGCCTGACAAGACGTGGAGGCCAGGGAACCAATCCAGCTTCTGTCTAAATCCTCTGCGTCAACCTTTAACTGTGTCCTGCTGAGAGAAAGTCCTGTACATTGTGTTTGGGGAAGGATTACACTGGCTTTAACTTTGCAGATTGGAGAAAGATGAGGTTATTGAATTTGACTTTTTCACTAAAGTTCTGTCCTGGTTTGTGGTTAAAGGAATAGTGTTCGAATTGGTTTATAACAGGGATTATGTGTTCTAAAAAAAAACCCACAATAAGTGAAATCTTTGAAGTAGCAGCGAAGAACAGAGAGTGACCAGAGAGAACACAAACGGTTACTGAGCTTGAGGTCGATCCATATCAGTCTATGTTTCAGACCTAAAAGATGACATATTTTAACTTGAAGATAACATGATGTCTGATTTCTTCACAACATTTTACATTATATTTTTGTGCAAACTACATATGTTATTTAAGGGACAGAAAAGTGAGGTGCCAGAGTTTCAAACATGTTCCATGTCCTTTATTTGTTGAGAACATTAAGCACGCTCCGAGCAGCAGTCCTCCGAGATGACTGCTGTTGAGATTTAGGGCGATACACAAATATGTTGAATTCAAGAGGAAGACAGCATGCTGCAGTCTATGACCAGAAAGAGGCCGAAGAGAGAGGGACCAGACTTAGACTAGCGGTAGAGACCAGGGAGAGACTAGAGAGAGACCAGGGAGGAGAAAGATATTAGGAGTTGAAACACTAATACTGAAATACTGTGTCCCTGTGTTCAGCCTGTGAGGGGGACTTCTGGGGCCCTCACTGCACAAACCGCTGCCAGTGTCGAAATGGAGCCAAGTGTAACCCCATCACTGGAACGTGCGCATGTACCGAGGGCTACCATGGGTGGCGCTGTGACGAGCACTGCGACGCCCTGCATTATGGGAAAGATTGTCTTCTGGAGTGCAGCTGTGAAAATGGAGCCACGTGTCATCATCAGAGTGGGGAGTGTTTGTGCGCGCCAGGATACACAGGGAGCTAGTGAGTGTGTGTTGTGCGTGTGTTTACAACTACCACAAAAGTCTCAAAGCTGTCATAGGAGTCCTCCTGTGTGTGTGTGTGTGTGTGTGTGTGTGTGTGTGTGTGTGTGTGTGTGTGTGTGTGTGTGTGTGTGTGTGTGTGTGTGGCAGAAGAGAGACCATGGAGAAATCAGAGAGAGACAGAAAAGATAAATTATTAGATAGATAGATGGCAACATGCGCTACTGAGAACTGGGGAGACTTATGATCAGGGTCAGAGGAGGAGTCCTCCTGTGTTGTGTGTCTTCTAAAGATTGTTTGTGTTGCAGCTGTGAGGAGCCCTGTCCTCCTGGTAAACATGGGTCCCTGTGCGAACAGCGATGCCCCTGTCAGAACGGAGGCTCCTGTCATCACGTCAGTGGCTTGTGCTCCTGTCCTCCTGGATGGATGGTAACACATGCATGCACACACGCACGTATGCACAGACACACACACACATAGACAAACTTGATAAACTAAGTGTCCTAGGGCCTGGATCTAACTGTTCCTGTGTCCTCAGCACTGGTTATAACTTTCCCTGCGTCATAGAGCCTAGGTGTAATTTACCCTGGGGCCTGTCCCTGTGTCCTAGGGCCCGGTGTGTGCTCAGCCCTGTCCCTTTGGTCTGTTTGGGGTGGAGTGCTTGGAGGAGTGTGTGTGTCGGAACGGAGGCCTCTGTGACCACATCAGTGGTCAATGTCAGTGCACCGCCGGCTTCATCGGAGACAGGTACAGAAATTAAAGGGGAATTTGTCTGTTATTATTATTATGAGGTTTACTTTGCCATGTTTTAGAAAGTGGAATTTTATTTTCAGTAGAAAACAAATACACAGTGAAACAAGAATGAAGGGTGAAAATGATTTCTAACTTTAGCATAAGTGCTGCCACCAGAGGCGGAGAAATAGTTTATGCATGGGCAAAACTTTTGTGTTAAAGGTACAATGAAAACTTGTCCCTCTGGTCTCTCTCTGGTCTCTCACTGTTCTCTTTCTGGTTTCTCTCTCTGTTCTCTCTCTGGTCTCTCTATCTCTGTTCTCTCTCTGGCCTCTCTGTTCTCTCTCTGGTTTCTTTCTTTTCTCTCTCTGGTGTCTCTGGTCTCTCTCTGGCCTCTATCTGTTCTATTACTGGTTTCTCTCTGGTCTCTCTGTGCTCGCTCTGTTTTCTGTCTGGTCGCTCTCTGGTCTCTCTCTCTGGTCTTTCTCTCTGGTCTCTTTTTCTTTCTCTTGTCTCTCTCTGATCTCTGTTGTCATCACAGCCACTTTCACAGCCTGGGCCCCACTTACAGTAATGTCCCATAAATAAAACTGAGTGTATCAATAGCTGCGTTTCCACCACAGAAGTTCCTGGTAAAAGGAGCGGGGTGGAACTTTTGCAGGTGTTTCGATTGCAGCATAAGCGAAACTCATCACGCCAAACCCATTTGATTATTTTACGGTGGTAATCACTCCGGTTGTTGTGGTCTTTGAGTTTTTTTATAGTCCTGCTTCCGTTTTTTTAAACTTTTCCCAGCTTGTTTTGGAGTTTGATGAATCCCCACTGCTTCGAAGTGAAGCTGATATTAATATCTTTTCAATTCGCCGCGATGCCTCAAACCCCGTCTGTTGTTTGCTGTTTCCAGTGGTGTCTGCTGAGCTAAGGCTCCTGGGCTAATGCTGCTAGATTTTAAAATTGCCAGTTGTTTTGGTTGGTGCAGTGGAGACACACACCAACGGGGCTGCCCCTGGAAAATTACCCCAAAGTTCTTGTGATGTACATACTGTTCCTCTAAAGTCATCTGAGAGGTGCGGTCTCCCCCACTCTGCTCCTTCTCTCTTGGTACTGAAGTTTAGTCTCTCCCCAGGGAAATTATCAGGCCGCAAGTGTGAAAATATGAAGCTTCCTGACCGGGATCGCAGTCTAAACGAGTATTAAAGTGCGGCACAAACAAATACCAGAACAAAGAGGCGGCAGACTGCGGCAGGGTTTCATTATGAGGCTTTTATCAGGACCTTTATGTGTTGGTGTAGCAGTGTATTTGTGAGCTTAATATGAGACGTAAATGCTGTCTTGGTGCTAAGGTAATCAGTAATCAGCATTATTCTGACTAAAAATAGGTTTTAAAGTCTTACAGTTTATTGCATGTGTGTGTAAAGTGGTCCTTCACTGTAACACAATTCACTTTTTGCTGTTTCTCGGATGTTTGTGTGTAATTGTGCTTATTATCCAGTGTGTTACTGTAACAATCTTATAACCACAAGTAACAGTTACATGACAGATACCTATATTTAAATTCAGAAGGAAACTTTTGTTTGGCGTTTTGCTTCGTGGTGATTACTTCAGATAACTTTTTCTGGTCTCTTTTGAGTCTCTCTCTGACCTCTCTCTGTGTGTCTCTGGTCTCTCTGGTCTCTCTCTGGCCGCGCTCTGTCTCTCCGCTCGCTCTATGGTCTCTCTATGGTTTGTATCTTGTTTCCAGACCAGAGAGACCAGAGAGACAAACACATGCCATGTGTCTCATGGAAATATGACATAAAGCACAACTTTTTTCCACTCACTTACAGATTTTCTGGAGTTACATTTACAACTCTCTCAGATGAACCCTGTGTAATTCGCTATTCAGCCAAATTGCCTCCATCCATCCTGGTTTGGACAGCAGAATTATCCAACATGGACTAATTCTCCTACTGACTTCCCCGTGTCCGTGTAATGGGAGAGAAGGTCTGTCTGATTTAAATGTGTGGGATGCTGGAGTCTTCTGTGGGTGGCGATAATGGACCGATTAGCCTCTTTCTGCAAATACGTGTGCGGGATACAGGAACGAGCTCAAACTCACCGGAGTGAGCCGATTCATCAAAAGAGGAAGGACACGGGGCAATAGATCAGTTTGTGTGTGACTGTGTGTAAGTATGTGACTTACTGTCTGTGACAGTGTGACTGATTGTGTGACTGTGTGAGTAGATGATAAGTGGTTTTAAAACAAGCTTTAATACAGCTTTAATTTGGACACTTTAAGTCATACTTTACTGCAAATAAGAAAACCTATAAGAAAACATGTCCTGTGAGTCAGTATCTGACTGTTTGGGTTGAAAGGTGATTGGCTGAGAGAGGTTGGTCCTTTCTGTTTAATTTTTCTGTCTGAAAAAGCCGCTTTAATTATATGAGAAAGGCCAGAGAGAGACTAGAGAGAGACTTGAGAGAGACCAGAGAGAGACCAGAGAGAGACCAGATACAGTATAGACCAGAGAGGGACCAGAGAGAGATCACATAGGGGGACCAGAGAGAGACCAGAGAGACTAAAGAGTGACTAGAAAGAGACCAGAGCGACCAGAGAAACCAGAGAGAGACCAGAAAGAGAGACCCAAAGGAGAAACCAGAGAGAGACCAGGAAGTGAGTGGTAGTCCTGCTGACAGTTGCTGGTGTGTGTTGCAGGTGTCAGGAGCAGTGTCCGCTCGGCGCTTACGGCCCGCAGTGCGCGCACAAATGCGATTGTCAGAATGGCGCACGCTGCTTCCACACAAACGGGGCATGCCTCTGCGATGAGGGCTACAAGGGCCCGAGCTGCCAGGACCGCTACTGCCCCCCGGGGATCTACGGGCTGCTGTGCGACAGGGACTGCCCCTGCAACTCCACCAACACCATCAGGTGAGCGAAGAACACTGGCGCGAGCGGAGTTTCTCTCTGGTCTCTCTCTGTTCTCTCTCTGGTCTCTCTCACTGTGGTCTTTCTCTGGTCTCATTCTCTGGTCTCACTCTGGTCTCTTTCTGGCCTCTCTCACTGTGGTCTTTCTCTGGTCTCTCTCTGATCTCTCTCCGAGTTCTCTGTGGAGAGAGGGAGAAGTTTAGAATGGTCACAGGCCTCATGACTGGATGAACTTACATCCCCTCCTGTGTGTAAGAAGAATCTCTAGACATCTTCTAGAAAATTCAAATGCAATGTTCTGGACATTTTCATAAGGATCCAAGGTGGGATGATTGCAGGCGAGTGAAGGGGAAGGGAGAGTAGAGGGGAGGAGATGAGAGGAGGAGTAAAGAGGAAGGAAGAGGAAAGGAGAGAGGGAAGGAGAGTGGAGGGGAGGATAGCATTACAGAGGAGGGGAGAGGAGAGGGAAGGAAGGGAGTAGAGGAAAGAAGGAGGGGAGAGGGGAGTAGAGGAATGCAGAGAGGAGGGGAGGGCAAGTGGTTGACAAGATTTTTATGATGGTGACTCGCTTCCGTCATCACCGTTGTGGAATGATTGGAACAATATCTGAACTCTGAACATTGTAAAGCGCTTTGGGTGACCTTGGTCTGTAAAATGCGCTATATAAATAAACATGACTTACTTACATCAGACACATGTCACCCTCCTTATGAGTGTCTGAATGAGGACAGAACCCACGTATTTTAAATGTCTCTATAATATAAATATATCATACAAAAATATACAGTGAAAGTATTCGGCCCCCTTGAACCTTTCAACATTTTGCCACATTTCAAGCTTCAAACATAAAGATATAAAAATTACATTTTTTGTCAAGAATCAACAACAAGTGGGACACAATCGTGAAGTGAAACAACATTTATTGGATAATTTAAACTTTTTTTAACAAATAAAAAACTGAAAAGTAGGGCGTGCAATATTATTCGGCCCCCTTGCGCTAATACTTTGTAGCGCCACCTTTTGCTGCAATTACAGCTGCAAGTCGCTTGGGGTATGTCTCTATCAGTTTTGCACATCGAGAGACTGGAATTCTTGCCCATTCTTCCTTGCAAAACAGCTTGAGCTCAGTGAGGTTGGATGGAGAGCGTTTGTGAACTTCAGTCTTCAGCTCTTTCCACAGATTCTCGATTGGATTGAGGTCTGGACTTTGACTTGGCCATTCTAACACCTGGATACGTCTATTTGTGAACCATTCCATTGTAGATTTGGCTTTATGTTTTGGATCATTGTCCTGTTGGAAGATAAATCTCCGTCCCAGTCTCAGGTCTTTTGCAGACTCCAACAGGTTTTCTTCCAGAATGGTCCTGTATTTGGCTCCATCCATCTTCCCATCAATTTTAGCCATCTTCCCTGTCCCTGCTGAAGAAAAGCAGGCCCAAACCATGATGCTGCCACCACCATGTTTGACAGTGGGGATGGTGTGTTCAGGGTGATGAGCTGTGTTGCTTTTACGCCAAACATATCGTTTTGCATTGTGGCCAAAAAGTTCGATTTTGGTTTCATCTGACCAGAGCACCTTCTCTCACATGTTTGGTGTGTCTCCCAGGTGGCTTGTGGCAAACTTTAAGCGAGACTTTTTATGGATATCTTTGAGAAATGGCTTTCTTCTTGCCACTCTTCCATAAAGGCCAGATTTGTGCAGTGTACGACTGATTGTTGTCCTATGGACAGACTCTCCCACCTCAGCTGTAGTTATCTGCAGTTCATCCAGAGTGATCATAGGCCTCTTGGCTGCATCTCTGATCAGTCTTTTCCTTGTTTGAGATGAAAGTTTGGAGGGACGGCCGGGTCTTGGTAGATTTGCAGTGGTCTGATACTCCTTCCATTTCAATATAATTGCTTGCACAGTGCTCCTTGAGATGTTTAAAGCTTGGGAAATCTTTTTGTATCCAAATCCGGCTTTAAACTTCTCCACAACAGTATCTCGGACCTGCCTGGTGTGTTCCTTTGTCTTCATGGTTCTCTCTGCGCTTTAAACAGAACCCTGAGACTATCAAAGAGCAGGTGCATTTATACGGAGACTTGATTACACACAGGTGCATTCTATTTATCATCATCAGTCATTTAGGACAACATTGGATCATTCAAAGATCCTCACTGAACTTCTGGAGTGAGTTTTCTGCACTGAAAGTAAAGGGGCCGAATAATATTGCACGCCCCCCTTTTCAGTTTTTTATTTGTTAAAAAAGTTTAAATTATCCAATACATTTTGTTCCACTTCACGATTGTGTCCCGCTTGTTGTTGATTCATGACAAAAAATTAAAATTATATATCTTTATGTTTGAAGCCTGAAATGTGGCTAAATGTTGAAAGGTTCAAGGGGGCCGAATACTGTACCTATAATAAACTGAATGATAGCTACAACAGTAAACACCCACACTAACATTATTCTGTGAGTAGTCTCATCTCTCATGTATGTACACTGTCCCTGCAGTTGCCACCCGCTCTCTGGAGAGTGTCTGTGTGCCGCGGGATGGACTGGACTCTTCTGTAACGACACGTGCTCCTCTGGATACTTCGGAGAGAGCTGCAGAGAGCTGTGCCGCTGTGACAATGGGGCTGACTGTGACGGCGAGTCCGGGGCCTGCATCTGTGCACCCGGCTTTATCGTAAGCACTTGCAATAGTCAAATATGTAGGTCCTGGTTCTATCCAGGCTAAGATTGTATTAAAGGCCCGTTTCAACCGGTACCAGGTCATTCTTTAGTCGCTCTTGGCCCTGGTTCTATTGAGGCCGAGCTGGCACTATAGGTGTTCTAACTGAAAATGATTGGCCATAGTGCGATTAAATTATTTAATAGCGTTTAATTGCAAAAAAACTGTATTTTTTCCTCTAAAAAAAGAAAAAAGAGGGCCTCTTGTTTAGTAACAGAAAACTGTATACAGTCCAAAGAAATCCACTCGGCAAGGAACTACACCTGATTTCTTTTTCTAATGAGTTCATAAAAATGTGTATTATTACATACAAGTTTTATTAAAACACATAAATTGATTGAAAAATTGTGCTAATTCATTCAGCTTGTGTATGAATTCAGACCATAAAAAGTGCTAAGTAGAAACTTTGCGTGATGCTGGTTCTCCTGCAACGAGTGGCAGTGCTGTTACGAATAGGCTGCGTCCTCTAGCATCTGCAACTCATGTAAACAAGAACTAACCTGGCAAGAGCCAGATTGATGATTGTGTAGAACTCTAATGCGTTCTTCACAATATCAAACTGGGACTTCTGCAGGAGAATCCTTTTGGGGAAAGGAGGGATAAGCAGCAGAATACTTCAAGCTGATTGGGCGAAGTGACGCTGTGTGCCCGCCTACCAAGGTTTGACTTAAACCAATCCCGGTAACATCTTTGCCGTCCAGAAATGCACAAAGCGCCTCTCGCTGTTCATCTTTCAAAAAAGAAATAAGAGATTCTGCTAAAACTGACTTGATAGCCTCAGCTACGCGTCCGTCCTCCTGCGTAGCCATGTTTGTTTTGCTTCGGCCCGGCACTTCTTGCTTTCGTCAAACCCGGAAATCCCGCCCTAAACCCCCAGACTGGCGCGTGATTGGCTTGAACACCTAGATGTTCTACTCGAAAAGGGTTGGCGGGAGCGGGACAAGATGTATTCTCGAGTGTTTGTGAACTCACAAATACCGCAAGAATTCAGCTTGCAGGCAAGGTTAAACAAGAACAGCATGGCAGCAGAAGGTGGCTATACCTCGTCTGCCTGTAACTAAAAGCAGCTGTTTGACAACAACATTCTCATCCCTGTAACAAACAATAGTTATGGTCTGTGTCTACTACAGAAAGACAGAATGTTAATGCCATTTTATGTGGATTTATTGTTGTTATAATAAAATATTAAAGTACTTATATACACTATGTTCTCATTTATCTTTCCATTCAAACAACCATTTACAGAAAAATATGGCATAATTTTGCAGATTGTTCAAAATGCGATTAATTACAAATAATTATTTTTTAGGCTGTAATTAACTTGATTCAAAAATGTAATTCTTTGAGAGCCCTAAAAAATATACTGGTTACCTCTAAACACAAGTGATGTGCTGAGCGGACCGAGTCTTCGAAGCGTGGACCGAGTAATCTGGGGGCGTTTCTTGTGAAGTGTGGGTCGAGGCGTGTATTGGTCACGTGTGTTGGTGACGTTCGAAGCCTCGCGTAGCGGCCGCACCACGTGACGGTTCATATAGTGCTTCATATAGTTCGGAGAGTGCATTGCTTTGACAGGTGCTTTGTGATCCGCGGCTGTACCATAGACTGTATTGGCTGTCCCCGTCTGCCTCTGTGTGCGTACGTGTGTGTGCGTACGTGTGTGTGCGTGATGTGGAGCAGTCCTGTACTAAGTATAGAGAAACTACTTCATATGAAATACAATTAAAAACGTTTCACATCAGTAAAACCTCATATATCAAGGCTTCAGCTGTGTGGCGCAGTCGGTCTATGACGGACTCCGAAGCAGAAGATAGAGCGTTCGAATCCTGGTCTACCCATAATAAATTTTGTGTTGCAAAGTAAATGTATTTATTTATTGGGAATAAATAGTTTGTTGTGTTTAATTAATCCACCTCTTGGTAGTTTTTCCTCCATTAATCACTTTCTGTAGAACTGTATTACTTTGGATGTGTTTGTTGTATCAACACAATTGACTGAAAGACTCAAATAGTTCATAGTTCATGAAGCATCATTTCAAACACAACACGTTAGACCATAGATTGTAAATATACATTTTAACATTAGATCTCACCATTCATTGTAAGCACTTGAGTGTTATGTATTTCTTTGTCCACATGATGGCGTAGTGGAGCATGATTCACCTCGAGCCTTCGACTCATGGGCCGAGTAATAGGCTGCTATCCCTCAAGGCTTCATGGGGCTTCATATTGCCTTCACTACTAAACACCCACCTCATTTTGGCTTGTGCACAAAAGTTGGGCATACCCAAATGTCTTTGCATATTATAAAACACATCACATGCTGAAGCTAGAGCCTTCTAGTTTAAGTAAATATACACTAAAATAATGTATGTCGTTCCTATTTTACTTCCCCTCCTTTGAAGTTTGGGAAAAAATGTTTTTTCAGCCTTGCCTAAAATATTCCATTTCTAAAGGCCCTAACAATGACATACTTCATTGAAAGCTCACAATAGTCAATGGTCATTGTTTTGTTGGCAAGACCTGTCTAAAGTTTCAGACTTCTAGGTTTTATCTATAGTTTTTATGCAGTTCCTCGTATTTATCAAATAGTGCCATTCGGAATCAAATTGCTTTACTCAACATTTCATGTCCTCAATCATCATGAAAACCATATTTTTTAGTTTTGGTACTTATGAGTTACTAAGCTGTGTGATTTTTTTAAGCATTTTTGTATAAAATGTGCTCTAACTTACAACCAGTGTCTCTTTACCTGCTTTGCACATGCTTCTAATGGGACTTAGAAGGGACTTAGAAGGGAGACATGTCAATCGTTCGGCAAAAGAACACTTCCCTAGCCATCTGGCTAACAACAAATACAGACTGACCATGTTCCAAAAGTGGCCGCTTGTTTTATACATGGGGGTGTTGCAGATGAACACGTATCTCCTCGGGAAAGGTCTCATTTTAACCAGTTGGAGAACATGAGCATACCCTATCTTTGGAGAACACGAGCATACCCTATCTTTGGGGTAAAAACAAAGGCTATACTTCGCGGACTGTAAAACAGTAGCCTGTGTGTTCTTTAAGAACGTAAAAAAAAAAAAAATCTCCAGAATGGATTATACTTTGGAAAATACAAGTGGATATGTTTTTTTCCATGGACATTTACGGAGTGAATGAGCCATAGCAAGCATGGAGGACTAGCTTATTTATGCAGCACAAGACCAAATTAATTTTGTTCTCCTACAGTATTACGTGTAGTATCTTTTAATGTAAAGTCTTATATTGTTTATACTTAAACTTAAATGCAGAGGAGAAAATAAGCTTTAAAGGTACACTGTAATTTTTAGTGCCATCATTCTCGTAGCGTTCTCATGTCTTATATGATCTTATATTGCAGTCCAATATAGTTCGGAAGCCTTTGAGTCTCAGTCATTCACCAGACTGCCAAGGAAACAATACTTTAGTTTGATAAATGACTGGATCTCTCCAAACGTCTCGGGCACTTGACAGTAAAAACAGCTAAGTAGTAAACAAGACCATGTTCAGACATGGCACCCTGCACAAAGGCTCTACTGAGTTTTACCATGGATCAATTATAATTAGGGCTGTCAAAGTTATTGCGTTAACACGTCTTAATTCATTTTTTCCATTAATTGCGTCAAAAAAAATTACGCTTTTAACGCATGTGCCAAATGACTGGCACCCCGTGCACGTGACCGCGGGGCAATTGCATGGGAGTGAATGGGAGTCCGCAGCGTTCTGGGCCAGCTGCGGCCGCTTTGGACAGCGGTTCCCGCGTCCAGCAGCTGTGAGCGGCTTTCAACAACACGGGAGCGCGCAGCCGTAACGTGGCCATGTACCCAAGGGCATACACGCACAGGACTATACTCTGTTTGTTGTGTGCGTGACCAGTGCACACAATAAAAACAGCGTTGCAAGATACTTATAAATAATAATAATAATAATAAATCTTTATTTATAAAGCACTTTTCAAAAACAATGTTTACAAAGTGCTGCACAGCATAATAAACAATACATCAGTCATAATACAAAGTTAAAACAATAAGAATGAATGCAAGAAGACAAGACAAACAGAGGAAACACAAGACCACAAAACAGACAGGACAGACAGTAAAATACAACATTATAAGTTTAAAGCTGACAATTAAAAGCTGTTTTATAAAAGTGGGTTTTAAGAAGAGATTTAAAAGAGGATACTGATGGTGCAAGCCTTATCTCCTCGGGCAGGTCGTTCCAAAGCCGAGGAGCCCGGACAGAAAAGGCTCGATCACCTTTCGTCCGGAGCCTCGACCTTGGAATGGTCAGCAAGGACCTGCCCGAGGATCTAAGGCTGCGGGGGGGCTCGTAGGGGGTTAAAAGTTCATAAATATAGCTTGGTGCCAGACCTAAACGAGCTTTAAAAGTAATCAGTAAAATCTTAAAATCAATTCTAAATCGCACAGGGAGCCAGTGGAGGGACGCTAAAACAGGGGTGATGTGCTCCCTTCTGTTAAAACCAGTGAGAAGTCTGGCTGCTGCGTTCTGAACCAGTTGGAGGCGGGAGAGGGATTTAGCATCAAGACCGGAGAGGAGGGAGTTACAGTAATCGAGGCGGGAGAAGATGAGGGCGTTGACGACTTTATGGAGATCGGGAGGAGTGAGAATGTTTTTAATCTTAGAGATGGTGCGGAGGTGATAGAAGCAGGTTTGGGTGGTTTTATTGATGTGGGAGCGGAAGGTGAGGTGAGAATCAAAAATGACACCGAGGTTACGGGCGGAGGGAGTGATGTTTGAGGACAGGGGGCCGAGGTGGGTTTGGATGTGGGATATGGATGGAGGCGGGTTGATGAGGAGGACTTCTGATTTGGAGGTGTTGAGTTGAAGGAAGTTATGGGCCATCCAACGGTTCACATCATTAAAACAGTCGACCACAGCAGCCAGACTTCCAGGGTCGTTTGGTCTCAGCGGGAGGTAGATCTGTGTGTCGTCCGCATAGCAGTGGAAGGACACGTTATGACGGGCCATAACGTGTCCTAGGGGGAGCATATAAATAGAGAATAAAATGGGGCCTAAAATAGAACCTTGCGGCACACCACAGGTGATGGGGGCTGTTGAGGAGGTAAAATCACCCATGGTGACCGCAAAGGTTCTTTCTAAAAGATAAGAATGAAACCAACCAAGTGCAGTATCTCTGATGCCAACCCACGTTTTGAGGCGATCCAATAAAATATCGTGGTCTATAGTGTCGAAGGCAGAGCTTAAATCTAAAAGAATTAAAATAGAGCACTCTCCGCTGTCCGTGGTTAAAAGAAGGTCATTTAAAACTCTAAGGAGAGCTGTCTCAGTACTGTGTTGTGCTTTAAAACCGGATTGGAATTTCTCAAAGATGTGGTTATTGTTAATAAAATCTAAAATCTGAATAGAAACAATTTTCTCTAAAACCTTAGATAAAAACGGGAGTTTAGAAATGGGTCTAAAATTGTTAAAATCTGTAGTGCTTAAATTAGGCTTCTTTAAAAGTGGTTGGACCACAGCATGTTTAAAACTGGATGGGACAAGACCTTGATCCAGGGACTGATTAAGGATTGATAAAATGGAGGGTCCAACCACATTAAAAACATCTTTGAGAAATTTGGTGGGGATGACATCGAGGCTGCACGTGGTTGGTTTCATGCGGAATAAAATGTCAGATAAAAGAGAAAGGGATAAAGGCATAAAATTTGTAAAACAACTAAAATCCAGAGTTTCTCTATTTAAAACAGTGGCTTGGCTAGGAGCAGATATTTGGGTCCGGATATCTGTTATCTTTTGAATAAAATGGTTTAAAAATAATTCACACTGTTCAGTGGATGAATCACTAAAAACACAGGGACTGGGATTTATAATAGAGTTTAAAACTTTAAATAAAACTCTGGGATTCGATTTGTTTTGGGTGATAGTGTTTGAATAAAATAAAGTTCTTGCTTCCTTGACTACGTGTTGATATTGTTTGAGACTGTCTTTCCAGGCGAGGTGAAATGCTGTAAGGTGTGATTTTTTCCATTTCCGTTCGAGCTGTCTGCATGACTGTAAGAGCTTTCGAGTGTTTTCATTGAGCCATGGTTGTGGTGTTCTGGTGGGGTTTCTTTGTTTAAAAGGTGCAATCGTGTCTAAAATCCTATGTGATGTTTGATAAAAGGAGGAGACCTGCTCCTCCAGGCTAAAATGTTGGTTAAAAGTAGTCAAGGAGGCTGCAGTAAAAAGTTGGGAAAATTTAAGAGCAGAGGTGGAGTTAAAAACACGAGAGTGATAAAATGACCCATTGGAGGCAGACTGAGGGGCTAAAATAACGTCGAATAAAATAGCTAAGTGGTCCGACACACAGATATCCTTGGTGATGACATTTCCTGCGCTGAGACCAAACGTTAAAACCAGGTCCAGTGTATGGCCCTTAGAATGGGTCGGAGCATTTATAATTTGAAGAAGATTAAAAGACTCAATTAGATCAATAAAATCAGAGGTTAAAGGGTGTGGTTTATGTGGGCAGCAGACATGAATGTTAAAATCACCTAAGATTAAAACTTTGTTGTGGAGGGCCATACACTGGGATAAAAGATCAGAGAATTCTTGAATAAAAACAGTGCTGGGTTTAGGGGGTCTATAAATAATTAAAACAAACACTGGGGTTTTACATGAAATGATAAGAGACAGGTGTTCAAATGAAGTAAAAACATTTTGTGATCCAGGAGTGCATTTAAAAGTGTTCTTAAAGATGGCTGCAACCCCCCCTCCCTTACCGCAGAGTCTTGGTTGGTGGAGGAAGGTGTAGTCCGGGGGGGTCGCTTCAATGAGGGGGGTGCAGTCGCCTTGCACTTGCCATGTTTCTGTTAAAATCATGAAGTCCAGGTTGTTGTATGTGATGAAGTCCTGACAGATGAAGGATTTATTGTTGATGGATCTGATGTTTAGAAGTCCAAAGATTGTAGGTGCAGGGTCCGGAGTGAGGGCTGTAGAGGAGCAAAGGGGAACCGGGATGAGACAGGGGAGGGAGAGTTCTCTGGAGGAGGTCCTGTGGGGTCGGGGTCTGGAGATGACAGGGATTGACTGAGGGGGAGAGCTGGGGCTGGGTCGGTGAGGAGGTGATACGGGGGGTGAGGAGGCAGATAGTCAGTTGTAGGTGGAGTGAGACTGTACTGAATGGATGATATTGGATGTGAGAAAGCGGTTTCCAAGAGGGTTGATATGAAGGCCATCAGGTCTGAAGAAGGAGGAGCGGTGCCAGAATAAATTAAAATTGTCTTGCTACTAACTTTTCCTTTGCACTACCATTTCATGTTGTTTGTGCCCAAAAATGAAATGGAAAAATATGAGCAAATCAAACAGAGTTAATGACAGCCATTGGCTGACATGCATTTCAGACTTTTTTCAAATATCCCATTCTCATCCCTGTAACAAACGATAGTACAGAGGCACAATAATGAAGAGGATCTGCAGCCTTTATGAGACCAAGAAAAAGAAGAAAGAGGAGGCTTTAGCAGATGCGGAATATGTCGAGCTGAAAAAATAGTGTCTACTACAGAAAGACAGAATGTTAATAATGTTAATGCCATTTGATGTGGATTTATTGTTATAATTAACAAATACTGTACATATGTACACTATGTCATCATTTATCTTTCCATTCAAACAACCATTTATAGAAAAATTATGGCATCATTTTGCCGATAGTTCGAAATGCGATTAATTACGATTAATCAATTTTTAAGCTGTAATTAACTCGATAAAAAAGTTTAATCGTTTGACAGCCCTTATTATGATATATAGTTTTACAAACGCGGGGTGAAGAGAAGAGACACATGGAGGAATGACGTCTGTGGGAGCTTAAAACTACGATTATCAAAGAAGCAGGAGATATACAGAGCCACGGATGAAATGGCTAAAAGCTCATGTTAGCATTAGCGTTAGCCAAAGCGCCCAATCTGCATCACGTTAAGAAAACATAACATTCACTCACTCTGCTGATGAAGTATTCTGGCGACTGTTTTGTGGGGATTCTGTGTGTGTTTTATTTGAGGCTTTTTCCCTGAATAAGTTCAGTTGAAACTTGTGACAGAGTAGTTGGACTGTGCTCGGATCGGGTCAGAACATCCTGAGACTGTTGCAGATTCTGCCTCGTTCTCATCATTGTCAGTGTGAAAAAAGTTACGTATTGTTCAAGTGTGAGTCTGTTGTGTACAAACTACACGATGTGCCTCCTGTTGTGTTAACGCTGTCTTTGTGCGTGTGGTTTGCGATGTTGACACTTTGCTGCTATGACGCTGGACTTCTGCATCTTTTTAAAAGATTGTTGTCCGGATTGTTCTTTTACATAACTGTGGTCCTCCATGGTTCTTTTATATAACTATGGTCCTCCTTGGTTCCTTCTTCCAACTTTTGGAGGCACACAATATCAGTAGCTCATGTGAAACAAAAACGCGATTCTCGCATCCTTTTTGTCCTTATCCACCTGTTTTTAAAGATGGCGCATTTACACGGAGAGCACTCCTCTCTCATGGACACTTATAAGTTAAATTCTAAGCCTAGAAATACAATTAAAAAAAACATGGTTGAGGTAAATATTCTTAAAAAGGTCACATTTATTAATAGTTAAAATGTCTTTTCATATGGAGCAACTGTAAAAGTTACACGGGGTGGCTTTAAAATTACATACAGCTTGTGGGGTTTGAAGTTCAAAACACATCTGCTATTGCCAGCAGAACACACACGGAAACAAATATAAAAAGCATATTTCTAGCATTAACTGGTCTCTCTCTCTAGTCTGTCGCTGGTCTCTCTTTTGCCTCTTTCCATAGTCACAGTACGGTACGGCATGGCCGAGTGTGGGTGCTTTTCCATTAAAAATGGTACCTCCAAGTATCTCCTCCGTATGGGAGGTGTAGTCAGGCCACGTAATTCACGCGTGTTGCGTAACTAGTACAATACACAATACAATACAATGTATTCTTGTATAGCCCTAAATCACAACAGTAGTCATCTCAGAGGACTTAACAGAACCATTGAAATCACCAACACAGATCAGAGAATCAACAGTTAAGACACAAAAAAAATATAGAACACATGTTGATAAATGTCCATGTACATGTCCACATGTTGTAGAATATTAAAGTGTCCTGGATCACCACCACAGTCCTGTGGGAAAAAAGTGAGAAACCTCGGGGAGACCCACATATTGAGAAAGGGATCCGCTCCACAAGGACGGATGGGCTATAAATCCAGGACCTAAGCTACAGAACATGGACAAGTGCCACGCAGCGGCCCTGGTCCCCAGGTCTGGTGCAGGACTGAAGCAGCTCCCAGGCGGGTCGGGTAGGGCAGTCCACAGGTGTGTAACATTGGTTCGTCTGATGCGTCACTTTTTGTCATTTGAAATGAAATGAAATGTTTTTATTTCAAGTTCAATACATAACTTAGACTTACAATATACATTTATTTTAAATAACTAAGTATCAACTCAAAAAAGGAGTGAGAAGAAGTAAAAGAATAATATATAATAAAAATCATATGCCTAAACATTTATTTTGCTATCGATAGCTAAATGTAGCTAGCTCACTGTGTACAACAGACAATCAAACATTTACACGAGTAAATACATTTCAGTGAGAGCTTTGGGCCAACGGATACGTAGCTAACCAGTTATTTCCAGGATTTCCACAGACTAGTCACAACCTTCTCGTTTCGTGTTGTGCTTTCGAGCTGCTTTTGAATTTGTTCTTCGGCCTAAAGAGAGTAACGTGCGGACCTCATCGACTGACTAGGACTTTGGGGCTTTCTGGCGATTCCATTTCTCTGGAGTGAGGATTACGGTATCATAATAGATCCATGGAAGGACGTATTGAAGCAGAGCAGCCGGTTTTAAAGATGGCGGGGTTGAGTTGTTTTTACCATAGGGTCAGATGTCGCTTCCAGTGACTACACTCGTTGACCAATCAGTGTAAGGCAGTCGGCTGACGTCAAGTTATGGTATCGCTTCAGTGCGCTTGGAACCACTGCCGAGGCGGTACGAAAAAGTACCCTTATCCCAAGCCCAACCCTAGTGGAAATGCAAAATAACCGTGTCGTGCCGTACCGTACCGTTACTGTGGAAAAACGGCATTTCTGGTTTCTCTCTTGTGTGGTCTGTATCAACAACATTTTACTTCTACAAGACTTTATGTTAGACAAACTTATTTGGGAAACCCCAGCTTTAAGTAACTTAAAGTGGAGACAGGTCTAAGCAGAAACATCCTCCACATAATCTCCTCCGGTCTGACAGATGAAGTGATTTGGATTAATGAAGTTCTTGTCAGATCTCTGATGCACAGGAGGTCTCTGTCATCTGGACCTGTGTTGCCTTTTCACTACAGGGAAGACAGGAGTCCAGAGAGAGAGCCCAGATCTAGACCAGAGTTAGACCAGAGCGAGACCAGAGGGAGACCAGAGGGAAACCAGAAAGAGACCACAGAGAGAAACCAGAGAGGGACCAGAGAGAGACCAGAGGGAGAGAAACGCCATAGAAAGACCATAGAGAGACCAGAGAGTGAGAGAGACCATAGAGAGACCAGAGGGAGAGAGAACATAGAGAGATAAGAGAATCTCTTTCCAGAGAGAGACCAGAGAGAGACCGGAGAGAGGGAGGGACAATAGAGAGACAGGAGAGAGACCATAAAGAGACAAGAGGGAGAGATTAGAGAGAGACCAGAAAGACACCGGCGATAGAGATCAGAGAGAGACCAGGAAGCACATATGTTTTCTGTTGGTGTTGGTCCCCTTTCCCTTTAGCTCTGTGTGTTTGGTCCACTGTGAGCAGCAGGTGCAGTGTCATCTGTACTGTTTAACTCCTCTCAGCACAACTCAGCACTTTCACTGTGTGTCAGAGCAGGTGTAGGCAGTCCCATGGGTCAGTAAAAAAGACAGAGAGCTCCAGATGACCCAGAAGTTGGCCAAAGTAAGAGCAGAGAGAGACCAGAGAGAGAGACTAGAGAGCGAAACCCGTTAGAA